GCATTCTCTGCCCCCATCCACCTCTGTCCTGCCTGGCCATATTATTCCTGCCCTTTGAGGATGCACATCCTTTTATGCTTTAAGCTTCCTTTACACCTGTTCATCTAAATCACATATCGGGTAGTCTAACTCACACAATGCTGTATTTTATTACTTATAGAATATTTATAATGAGTGCTATGAGTTTGGTCTTTATTCTGTAATGGCTTCAAGTTCTAGTGCCTTACTTAGACCCTACTTCCTTGTTGAGAAGTTCTCTGTTGCATGTATCTGAATTTATCCCAGTGATAATCTAAGGACAAAGGACCAACTGCAGAAGTTTGTTCACAGAACTCTTCATTATATAAAAATCCCTTTTTCTATAAGGTCATTCATCAACACTGATACTTGGTAATGCTTCATAGAGGGATACTCAGTATATTGCTTTTCCTTTTCTTTTTTTAAAAATTATTATTTTTATTTTATGTGTACAAGTGTATTGCCTGCATGTATGTGAGTGCGCCCGTGTCATGCAGTGCCACAGAGGTTAGAAGAGGGCTTCGGATTCCCCTGGAACTGGAGTTAAGGATGGTTCGTAGCCACCATGTGAGTGCTGGAAATCAAATGGTCCTCTGCAAGAGCAGTCAGTGCTCTGAACTGCTGAGCCATCTCTCCAGCCCCTTCCTTTTCTTTTTCAATGATAATATTTTTTACTTAGTCTTTGACAATTTCATACATTTATGCAATTTTTAATAATTTTATTGATTCAAAAATTCTATGCAAATGTGTTTTGATCATATTCAGACGCCCTCCCCATCTCCATCCCACCTTGCTATCCCCTGCCCACTAATAGGAGTATTTAAGGTAATGGAAATCCATACTGTGAATTTCCTCAAACTAAGGGCCCACCTCCAAGTCAAACTTCTCTTCTGGGAAAAGTTGTGTTCTCCACACTTAGACTACTTTCCCAGACTATTAATAACATTTGTGGAACTTTGCCCAGTATAACACATATTTAGTGATACATCATGGAAATTCAATAATGCCTTCTTGAGCTTCTTTAAGTAAAGATATATTAAACACCAGCTACTCTTCTCAGCTTTTCATTGTCAGTGTGGTTTTAAAGCAGATTCTTAGGCATGCTTAGTGTGTGCCTTCAGTCCCAGTGTCTCCTGGAGCTGAGGCTGGAGGATCACTTGAGCCAAAAGTTACAGATCAGCCTCGAAAGACAGAAAGAAAGAAAGAAAGAAAGAAAGAAAGAAAGAAAGAAAGAAAGAAAGAAAGAAAGAAAGAAAGAAAAGAAAGAAAGAAGAAAGAAAGAAGAGAGAGAGCATTCCAGAGGGAGGGAGGGAGGGAGGGAGGAAGGGAGGGAGGGAAGAAGGGAGGAAGGAAGGAAGGAAGGAAGAGAAAGAAAGAAAGATTAAAACATAAAGCTACTACCAATGTTTTCATACTATAATTTTTATCAATATGAGTAAGCAGCCTGAATAGATTGTGAGGTTTTAGGCAATATTGAAGAGGTTGTTTTAATGAGTCTTCGAGTAATAGATAATTTAGACCTTCACTTTATTTAAAATAGGTTTTCCTTAGTTAAGAAATTATCTCCATCTAGTGGACAAATTCTCATATTACACTCTACAAACAAAAATAGCAGAGGCCATAGAATCTTTCAGATCAGGCATTTTCTGACCGGTTTACATAGATAATATTATGGCAGAAATATCAAATATTTTAAGATAATTTAGTTATATGTTTCCAAAACTTAAAGCAAGGTGTTTCTGTAAGTTATGATTTCTTAATTAAAATGAAAACATTTATTATAATTAAAAAAGAAAATGATTCTTAAAATTAAATATTTATCTAATTGAACCGAGAAAAACTAAAGCAAACATCATACTTCTAGTCTTTTTTTCAAGCATAATATGGAAAGAATATCTTCTTTTTACTTCATTTAACATTAAAATTACCCTGTTATTAAGAGGAACTTGGAGCAGGTATTTTGTATACGAGTTCCCATTCTTTGGTCCTAAGGCTAAGAAGCGTCTGTGACAATCTTCCTGAAGGGAAATTGACTCCCACCCTTCCTGTTCATAGGGTAAACTCTTCCAGGTGCTTGTTGAGTGACTTTGAAAGCCTACTTTACTTATTGCTCCTTTGTGGAAACATCTCAGATATCCCAGCCTAAATTCACGCTACTGCTTGTATTTTTATTACAATGTGTTTGCAATGGGTGCCTAATAAATGCTTTTTTAATCACATCCAAGAGCTTTCCTAAAATTCCTCAATATGCCTATTTAACCATTAAAGACCCTGCCTTCCTTAGCTTTCTTTCCTTGGGATAGTCGAAGTGCTACCCTATTAGGGTGAGTCAGATGCCTCTTGTTCAGTGTCACAGCTACTGAAATGTATGTGTGGCTTATAGAATTATGCACTACATCTGGGAGGACTGCAGGAACAATGGGTTATTAGGCAAGCTAGCTCAGTGACTTTGATCAGTCAGCTCTTCTAGGACCCGCTATCCTTGTCTATAAAGAGAATGGTCAACTAGATAATCTGTCAGTGTCTTCACAGAACCAAATACATACATTTTTTTTTCAAAAAGAAAATTTTCTAAAAAGAAAATTAATGATGTTGGAAGATGACTCAGAGGATAAAATGCTTGCCAAACAGACATGAGGACTCAAAATCAGAGTGCCAGCATCCACATAAAAATCTTTGGGGAGGCCCGGCATGGTGGCGCATGCTTTAACTGCAGCACTCCAGAGGCAGAGGCAGGGGGATCTCAGAGTTCAAGATCAACCTGGTCTATATAGTGAGTTCCAGGTTAGTTGGGGCTACCTGGAGACCCTGTCTCAAAAAAGACAAAAAAATCCTTTGGGGAGGCAGAGACAGGGGATGCCTGGAACTCACTGGCCAACCAGTCTAGATCAAATGGAAAGCTCTAACTTCGGTGAGGGAATGTGTCTCAAAAAAATAAGGTGGGGAACAATCCAAGGAGACAGTGGATTTTGACTCCTGACCTCCACATACGCGCACGCATGCACACACACACACACACGTATACCACACATATCATTACATATACAGCACAAAAGACATGTATGTATACCACATATATCACTACATACACAGCACACGCACATGTGTACCACACATATCACTACATATACAGCACAAAAAACATGTACATATACCACATATATCACTACATACACAGCACACACACACACACACACACACACACACACACACCATTTCATATGCAATAGAGAAAGAAAAAGAGAGAACATTTTAAATTGAAAAAACACTGTTTTGACTGATTAAACTACATTGTGACTTTTTCCTCTTTTCCACTTGAAGGATTTGGTGCTGCTGCTGTTGGATCATAGGTTGTATAGGTGATTTATGATATATCATCCATCCCCAGCTTATTCTCCCAGGTTGGCTAATTTATGTCATAAATAACTCTAATACTAATAACACTAACTACTAATAACTCTAAGATGGAATTTTTAATGTTTTAAATTAGTGAAAGTTATACAAAACAGTTTGTTTAAATTGTGTCTGTGTGTGTATTTGTGTGTGTGTGTGTGTGTGTGTGTGTGTGTGCATGCCTGAACACATGCTAGATATTAAACCCAGGGCATAGTGCATGTAGGACAGCAATCTACCACTGAGCATTTTATTCAGTCTTGCATAATGATTCTAATGGGGAAATGTCAGTAACAGCTTTACTTGAATTTGTTTGTTTATTTGGTAATAATTTTTAAAACCACATACCTCCTGGTCTATCTCAAGCCATCACTCTAGAAAAGTTCTTTTGGGAAAATTTATCTAGATTATAAGAAATATTACATTAAAAACTATGTGTGGCTAATTTTTGTCCTAGAACTCTAAAATCTGTATTAAAGCCTGTGCTTTCCACTCATTCAATCATCTATTCAACCCACTTAGCAGTTTTGTTGTTTTTGCTTTGTGGAGATGGAGATTGAACCTAGGGCCTAAGGCTCAAGCAAGTACTTTGCCATTGATCTATGCCTCCAGCTCCAGGGAAAGGTTTTGAAGAGCCACATGAAATGCTGAGAATATTTCAAGTTACCAGTTTCTGAGAACTTAGTCCAGAAATGGAGTCCATATGGGAAACATTTCCAATTCATTGTCAAGTCTGTCAATAAGGAATAGGACAGTGCCTTTGGGAGAATAGAAAAGGATGCTTTATGAAGCTCTGAGATGTCAGGGCAGCCTTTCAGATAAAGGGTAAGTTCTCAAGAATAACTGTCAATTAGACTTGCAAAAGAAGGCTGGGTAATAAAGGGAACAGTAGTTGGGGTGCCAGTGGCCTGTGATAGGAGGTTCAACATGAGCGAAGTGCAAAGTGCCTAATGGGTCAGCCTGTATCTTGTGCTGGGGAGATGATTGACTGCAACTGAGAGCAGATGTTCAAGACCTTCAATCTAGCCAAGGAGTTTGGATTCCATCCTGAAGGCAAAGGAAGTTACTGAAGTGTATAAACTGAAGAATAATGTACTCATGTTTGTATTTTAAGAAGAATTGATAAAGGCTCAGAAATGGGTCAAAGAGATTATTATAAAGGCTGTTACATATTTGTAACAAAGAATGGAGAAAATTGGGTATAAAAATTAATGATTAAATAGATGTACTGTGCAGAGGAAAATAATCCTGCAGAATGACTTCCTGATAAACTAAAATTAAATTTAGAAAAACCTATGCATTTTATATGGTCAAAAACTGAAGAAAATAAACATGTTAATTCAATATGATATTGTGCTCTTGTGGACTTGTTTGGTTTTTTGTTTTGTTTTGTTTTCCGTGCCAGGGATCAAACTCAGGGTGTGAGGCAGACACACTGTCACTGAGCTACATCTCCAGTCTATATTATCATTTTTGCCAGCAAGAATCACCTTTTTCCATTGTATTTCCTAAACTCAAGCTAACTCCTTTGCTGACATTACAGGGTATAAGTACTCACAGCAATATATTTCCTTTTTCTTCATTCATAGTTTCGACGTGGACAATGGCACATCTGCGGGACGGAGTCCCTTGGATCCCATGACTAGCCCAGGATCTGGGCTAATTCTCCAAGCAAACTTTGTCCACAGTCAACGCCGGGAGTCCTTCTTGTATCGATCCGACAGCGATTATGACCTCTCTCCAAAGTCTATGTCCCGAAACTCCTCCATTGCCAGTGATATGTGAGTATTCAAATGGACAGAAACAAGTAAATTCATCCCTGAAGTGGATGATATATTAAACAATGACCTCATTCAACTGCATCATTCTCCTCTGATATAGAAAGAACGAATAAATTATCTAGCTGAAGATGAATAGTGGATTGAACAGTTATACACTGTCACTCTTAAGAATAAAGTTCAGAAAATACATTGAGAAAAGAAATAAATATTTAATGGAAACTTACCCTCAAAGCATCCATTTAGATTTATATAAGATCATGTTTTAGCTATTTAATCACATGTATATTTTCTAATATTTTAAAAAGCCTTAAACTCAGATTGAAGATCCCTATGATCATCAACAGTGTCTTGGATATATTTTGATTAATATATATACAGATGTTAAATTGGTTTGCCTCATTATTTAAGAGATCTTCAGGGGATTTATGCAAATTAAAACAGTTTTTTTAATATGTCACTAGAGATAATTTGGAATGAATATCATCTCACGGCACAGATTAGAAATTAGATAAAGCTGACAGACGGGTTTATGGCTCACACTTACATAGCACATTCTGTGCCTGTGATGACTATATAGTTCATATTCTTTCTTTGTTCAGGAAATGATTGCATAGGTTCCTATTCTCACCAATCACTTACAGTCATGTTCAGTAATGGGTGCACTTGGCCTCCACTTTCTTATGGATCTAGACAATTTTCTTCTTATGCTCAACATCTCATGACACATCTCAAAAACCCTTTGCAGTAGATCTAGTGTTAGTCTTGGTTTCCTAAAAGACCACAAAAGTATTAGATCACCAAGCAGCAGGTCTAAATGGGGGTCTAGAAATGAAATTTTGTTTTGTTCAGTTTGTTAACTATATTTTGGCAGTTGTATTCTAATGATCACTCTTCATCCTTCCTAAATAACTTTCTTTGACCACTGGGTCTATTTCAGTGTTGTTTTTATTCCAGTGTCATAGGTTTAAAATTCAGAACATTTATTTATTTGTTTGTACATAATGGAAATACTTCCTGAGCTTTTAATCCTTGAGGAAAGGAGGGTTGGTACTTTGTAACATTGTTAATAAAGTATGAGTACCACCCTTGAGGTAGTTACAAGGTACCATAAAAACATGGGGCCAAGGAAGATTCTCTGCCCAAATGAAAGGGACAGAAAATAACAGACTAAGGGAACAACTGTACAAAATGTGAAGTACGGAAAAATCATGGTGTAATTTAGGCATGACATTCAGATTTATTTAAGTAGCAAAATATGGCAAGAGAGAAAGGGGATTCAAATAGGGTCCGTGGGAACCACCAACATTTGTAGCTAAGGTTTGGCCTTGATCATAATCTAGTTTTTATTGCATTTTGACTATATTATTCTACTGTGGAATGATTGCACAGTAAAGAGACAATAGAGAAGTGCTTCATAGCAGAAAAAAGTTGGCCAAGTATGATGAAGACGTCGACCAAGGCTGTAACAGTGAAACAAACAAGTTGGTCCAGATGTAAGAGGTACAAGGCTCACAGTGTGTGTGTGTGTGTGTGTGTGTGTGTGTGTGTGTGTG